ATAATTGTTCAGTCTTCGAAATACACGACGACGATAATCAGTCGTCCTTGAGGATACTCCCAGTGATTATATTCTAACCTGTACAAGCTTTAATACACTAATATGCGTCGTCCATGCAGCTATCGGTTTCATCTCCTAATCATGTCGCGAAATAATTCTGCACGTGCATTACGTAATGGGCGTCACGTACAAACCTGAGGGAATATATTACGAAGACGGCTTGTGCATCGTGTCCTGATTGATCCTTACGGCAATCGTTGCGAAAGGGAATAGCGAATCGTTTGAAAAGGAGATCGTTCCACGGGAAACAGAGCAAAGACGATGATGATGCGCGAACGAATCATGGTTTCAGGATGACATCCGCGTCCTGATTAATTTTAGACTCTGTATTAATTACTTTCCGAACTGGTAATTAAATTCAGACTACCGTTATTTCTAGCGTCGAGTAGAAGGTACCTTTGAGCAGGAAACATGTGTCGATTCAATATTGAACCGACACGGGACAATTAAATTTAGTCCTCTTCTATTTTGACCTATCACGAGAACGTTCGAATTATTTTCAGAATAATTACGAGGTAAGGTTTAGGAGAATTCGATATTTTCGTCGCGTCACTTTTGAACATGTTAACCCTCGAAGAATATGTGTTTTGATATTAATTGCCTACACTTACTATCCTCGAAATGATTCACGAAATAATCGTGCAATCTCTCCGTTAGATTCTAGGACATGTCCAAAAATCATGTGATTTTTCACCTGAAAAGTATACCCTCTGCGATATAACTTATAGCTCAGCATATGACTTCATTTGAGAGGACTATCTCAATCAGAATCTGATTATGTTATAGTCCACATAAAGTTAGAATTTCATACGAAAAGGATGAAACTATTCTCCAATCAAACTTTAAATACCTTCTGTACCTTCTCCGATATATCTCATCAGATTTTGTAATTATGCAACACTCGTGTACGTCTAATTACAATCCCCAAATCCTTCTCTCCCTGTGACTACGACCCACTTCATTTGTCAAAACCACCCCTCTGTCAAATGTTAATTTCGTTCATCAAAAATATCCGGAGAAACAGCCGAAAAGCGCGCAAAAGTACGAAAGCACCTTCGCGACAGCTGCATCAGCCTTCTAGCCGATCGAATTACCGTCGGCCCACTACGTCGCGTCGCGACGCCCACGCGTCTGCACCGAAAGAAGCGGCGAGCAAGTAATTTCGTTGGTATCGATCCTCCTGCCCCGTCGCAACAAATATTTGCTAAGTAGTCCAGATGGAGTGCGACCGCGGGACCGATACAGGATAAACACGGCTTGGAGGCGTCTCGTTAATAACGCGAGGCGTCGAGACGCGCGCGATACGGTGCTACGCGATCCTCGTGCTCGTTGGGCGCTCGAAACACGTGGCCGATTCGTGGACCACGTTAAATTTGCAGCCAACTGCGCGCGAAAATTGACTAATCCGAACGGCCGCAGGTCCGCCATTATGGTTGAACACCGGTGACGCGCGTGTAATCATCCTCGAGGCGTAGGTGGCGCTAGTTTGATAGCGCTTGGACTTAGGAATGACGAAATAGGTTCCGATGTTTTTTGTTTCATTTTTACGAGTTGTCGAAGCTTTTTGTTTTATTTTTAATTACAGCTTATTTCGTGTTAACCTTGTTAACAGTTTTCACACTTCTCGTATTAGGTATTTGTTGTTTCTCGTTTAATCTATGACTGCTTGTTATTACGCGAACATTTGTCGGTTTACATATCTTTAACCACCGTTCAATACTGTGAAACAAAGCCTGTTATAGTTGTTTGTTTAACGCGAATTATTTAGGACCAGAGTGTAACTTTGGTCGTTAGTGGCGATTCATGTGGTCTGTTCGCGAGTTTGTACGATGTCCGAAGTTATTTAGATTCTTTGTTTGGACTGACAGGGAGAGTTGTTTGCTTCCGGAAATTTAGCGTGACGCATTTCAAAGTTTTTATCGATACTTTGTAGGTAACAGGATGGGATTAGGATGAAACTACTTAGGAAAAATAGAAAGGATCAAGGAAATTATACTTTTGTTTATGAAAAGTCGAGATCCATTTTATTGCATTTCTCACAATCGTTTACAAGATTAATTTTCTTCAAATTAATAATACTTTTAAAATAAATTGGCCGTATAAAATAACTGGTTTTCTCTGTCTACGAGATGGCGTCCATGGTTGCTAGCGAAGTAAGGAAAATTTATTTAACTACTTATATTTTCTCTTTTCATTTTCTGGAGTTAGAATAATATACCTGCTTGTTCTTGCTATTATTAGTTAAAACTTCAACGAAGTTTCTTCAAATAAAAGATGCCGCTACCGCACTTTCACGAGACATTCTTGTATCGTATACGTGTCGTACAAGAGTCTCGTATTTACAGTTAGCAATTAAACTCTAATTACCGAAGCACGACGCGTGTACATCGTTTTCTGTTTGCTAATAATCTCGAATAAATTCGATCTTTGGAATTCGACGTAACACGAAGCGTTTCTCGAGATTTCTATCGATCATTCCTTCCTCGACCTTTCGTTTCTTTATTCGATTAGTTCCCATGTTATTTCGCCGCGCTGTCTTCGGTGGAATCGATTGACTTCCGCAAACGAATTTCCGATTTCGTGTTTGGAATGCATCGGGAATCCAAGAAGTGAAAGCAGCCATTGTTGGTCGATTGAATTGGTTACAGAAGGAAATTGTCACTGAAGGAACAGACTTGGTTCGAAAATTTTACCTTCGATCAAGCCACGATTACAAAAATATAATTTTCATCTTAAATTTTTAGCGATGAAATCGACCCCGAATTCATATAAAATGACGCAGAAAATATCTTATATATAATTTTTAAAATATCGACAAATCAATACACTGCCAAAGGCATTTTCGTGTCAAAGTAATTTTTTTCTCTTTTTTCAATGGTAATTAATGACTTCCAAAGTCCTCCTAAGCAATTTTGAAAATTTATTTAAATTTACTTCGATAGCAACTTATGTCTATCATCGTCCTATATTCTTGCAGATAATACTACATTTGATTTGAGAACGAAGCAATCGAAGCAACATTTCGTCAATAACAATCGTCAGCTTTGAGCTTGAAAATTATTCGATTCATAGTCCGTCAACGGGCGCAATAATTTTCCAAGTGCATTAACCACCATTCATAATTACATATGCAAGTGCGAGCCGTTCATTTATTCTGTTAGCCGCTGGTTCGTGTCATGTTAATAATAAATGTCACTCGCACTAACAAGATGAATCAATTTTCGCTTGATCAATCATTGTCTGAAACGTTTAAACCTCCATGACCAATACTTTCATAGTACTCGGGTAGGATTTTAATATTTTTCAATAGAAATTTCCGTTTTATTTAAAGCATGTTACGTTACGACAATGACAGTATTACAAAATGTAAGAATATTGGTAAATGTAGAAAATTTCTTTAGCTAAGATTGCATGGTAGAATTTAATTAGTGCAGTGGTAAAAGTCCAACAAAATTTGACAAATTTCCTCACCTCGTGTACTGAAATGTCATGTTTGTTTCCCCATTTTGTTATTTTAATTCCTAAAATCTTAAGGACACTTGTTTTCCTATATTAATTAACTTTTACTTACATTAGATTATTATTTAAGATTTTAGAGAAGCATTTTTGATTAGATAAAATTTTATCTCGAAAGTAGAGTCGACCTCGCGAATTTCCACGAATAGCAAAACGCGCAATTGTAACACTGGAATGGTTGTTAGCGAATGTACAACTGTCCCTGCGATCTTAACACCGTGGAGTATTGTTATCAGGGACACGTAGGTATTATTAATTGCCAGCCATTTATTCTATCAAGCGCTCGTGTCATGCAAGGTACTTGAAACAAAAAGCTGCGAGATAGAATCTCCGACAAACTGCAATGTCTTCGACCAACGGTGTAAATAATCGAGCAAAATGTTCCGCTTAATTATTACTTACACCTTTGATTCTGCTGCATGCAATGCTGTTTTGGAATGAACGTGTTTCGGTTGTTTGTACAGCACTGTTTCCAATCTATTCACAAAACGAACATTTCGTGTAAACACATTCTGGATCCCATGATACATTTTTCAAAATAATGTTATAATACCTCCATATATTAAACAATATCATCTCGCAGTATTCGAATACTGAAATACTTCGGGACACTCGACCGGTGAATTATAATCATTAATAAATTTAGTTGAAACTGAGATACATTAAAATAGGATATACAGCTAAAGAGTTACAAATTTTTGAAATATTTAAAAAAAAGCATATCTCGTTAAATGTTTTTAGTACACGTATAAAAATATAAAATGGAATAAATGCAATACAAATTTTTAGAGATTAAAGATATATTGGACTAATAAAAAATTTAATATAACAACTGCGCGCGTTATTAAGTAATTTTAATATCTAAATTCGCGCGTATAATCTGGTATGTCGATGTAACGAGATAGCTAGGTGTAACGAAACATTGAGCTGCATATTGAAACACTAAAGTAAAGGCATATGAACAATGTACGAAGACTAAAATTTCCGCGCTGTAAAAACATTTTCCACAGTAAGCGTAGCAAGATATTAGAGTACATGATCATAAGGATACCCAAGTACCGAGCCATTCACTGCCGTATAACCTAGGGATACTTAACTGTGACGATACTGAGACTTATATTATACATGATTTCCCGGCATACAAAGATCCTAAAGTATTAAAACGCACACGACCATCGTGATACTTGATACTGATCATCAACACACCGAATACTGAGCCACGAATCAAAAATCTGTGAGACCTACATGCTCAACCTATTCGTGAGTTAGGCTAAGATATCTCATACCATGATCCAGAACTCTCGTCGCACGAAATGTTCGAAACTCACGATCAGACACACTGCCTGTACCCATCGACAAGTCATCGGTGACGTCGATGACGTCGGTTTTCGTTTAAACGATGTATCCATTAATGACATTCGCAGTGCGTAGAACGCTGAAGAACGGCCTCTCGGAAGAGGAGAAGAAGCACATCGCCGCCTACATCAAGGGCTACTGACTGTGATAAAACTCGAACCTTGTAGCTCGTCCACGAGAAGAGAGGAAAGGATAACAAGCACGATCATCGGATCTTCGATCGGACGTCGATAACACGGCCAGGACATTGCGATTTTCACGGGGAAGAAGCAAACCCTCCCAGAGGGAAATCGCGAACATACACCAAGGTTATACGTTAAAAGAATTATATATACATATACATATATATATATAGATATATATACAGGCATATATATATATTTCGATCGAACTTCCTGTATGCTGGCAGGAAGATATCGTTTTTATCAAATTCGTCGTCGAAGACGAAACTCGAGGCCTTCCATTCTATTTTTCGACCTTATCTGTCATTCGTGCTTTTCTCGCAGAAAACAGGGTACAGTTATGTAAAATTCGTGTACCTAAATCGTTGAACTTATGGATGACTCGAGTTGCATTTCGAGTATTTCACCTTATTCGAAGGTATGATCCTTCTTTTATGACTAGTTAAATCCATGGATAACCAGATGCCTGGAATTCCTCTGTTCGAGAGGAAAGAAATTCTATTCGACACACTTGCGTGAATAGTATACCTCTAAATTGTTATACGATCCTATTCGAAGATATGATCCAAGTATCTTCCACTTTCATGGATAATTTTAACATTAAATCTACCACGAATGGAAGAATAACCGATCCAATAATTGGAGCTCTGTCAGTTACTTACCTCGAGAAAAATGAAATTGAATATGGTATAATTACCTGAATCGTATACTTCTACCTTCTTGAATTTAGAAACCAAGTGATAAAAGCATCTTCTCTTCTCGAGGTTAATAAGACAAAAGGAGGTAGATATTGGAATATTTATTATATAAATATTTATTATGAGAAAATTCGAATGCAGAATTTGTAATGAAAAATTGGGAAACAGTCGTCCAAGCTATGGTAGATTTAATGTTAACTGATAACCTGTAATACGTACCTAAACATAGTATATACGGACGATATTAATCAAAGATATATAAAATTATATATATTTTCGATAACTGATACCAGTCTTCCGACTGATTAGATACCTCTGAATACCAATCAACTGAAACTGCTCAGGTCAATTCGAGTATTCCACTCTATCGAATCACGTCGTAAAATGATGATAATAAAACAGCGAGAGCGAGTCCCCTGTAAGCCGACGATTTAGGGTCATCTCGAGAGCGAATAATCGAATCCACCATACTTCGTTTCGCCTCCTTTCAAGGATACGAGTATTTAATCCATAACTCTCGTGGAAAGTCCGCAGGGGTACTTTCGACCAGCTGTACACACGCGGAACTTTCGCGAAACGAAGTTGGAATCTTTTCATCGTCGATAAGGAACTCTCCATGATTCCGATACCAATCTTATCGACCCCGTATAAACCGAGACTAACCTAAAAATCGAGTAGCCTCTCCCTCTCGTCGTACGAGCATTTATACCCTCGATAAACCCACGTGAAACGACGCGAAACTCCAACCAGAAAGCACGACCTTCCTTCATACCTCATCAAACTGATCGATACGATACCCCCGAATGGAATAATCACCCAGGTCTCAACCAAACCCGGACCCGACTCGCACTCCCAGTCCAAACCTAGCTGCTCGAAGACGTGTATCGAAATTGGAGAAATGTTTTATGCATTCGTCTCCTCGCCGTCTGCAGAAATGACCGTCAGAGGTGGGAGGAGATGGAAAGAGGTTAGGATGATCAGTCAAGCGACTTATTCGCAGGATCTTGCCGGCTAGGATCGCGCTGGCAGCTCGCGAGCTGAAGGACGCCGAGCTTACGGGTCAGCGTTCCTCGAATGCGACAACTTCCCAACTTATATCCTCTCCATCTTGCAGAAAAAAGGGCTCGACGCGAAAGAGCAGATAGACGCGAAGAGGGGTGGAAAGTTTCGCAGATGCATCTTCCGCGGTGACAGTTTCTCGGGAATAAATGCTCGTATGCAAAGAGGGTGGAGCATTTCTCAAAGCAATTCGCTCTTGCAACATGCATGGGACGAGGGATTATTGAAATACCCGCTGAGAAGCTTCTGCGTTTCAGCAGACGCTCGAAAGTTCGAACGACAGGGATGAAAAATCGGGCAATCTTATCGGGAGCGCGCGCCCCGGAACGACTTCTGATCCGTCGATGAACAACTTGCGAGCCCTGTCTTAAGGTTTAAGAAAGTATCGAACGAGATAGGACGAGTCACTCGATGATACGGAATGGTATTCTTTCGTACGTATTTTTTCTTCCTTTTTTTTTTTTTTTTCCCCCTCTTTTTTTCGACGATGAGGAACGATGGGATAGACGAGGTTAACGCGCGAGCTTTGCGCGGACAGACGATTTCTGTGGATGTCGTGGGTAGTAAATTTCGGATATCTAGGCGACGAGAATTTGTAAACGGTGTGATTTGCTCGGCGGGAGGAGAAACTTAATTAATTTAATCATCACCTTATTATCGCGCCGCGCGGCGTCGCGCGTGCGCAGTTACTGTAATTTTCTGCGGAAATGATTCTTGAAATAAAATTGAGAGCAACAATAACAGCCGTGTTAATTCGGTTCGTCGGTCGTTCCTGACTTTTATTCCTATCGTTCCAATCCGATTCGCCAGACTATTTCCACCGCGATCGAGACGGCGAGAGAAGAAAAGAAGAGGAAAAGCACTCTTGAGGTAAGTGGTATGTAATTTTTAATTCATAAAGGACGAAATTGATTGTGGTAATTTTATAATACTTAAATCTAAGTTACAGGAATTTATTTTACGATTCTCGAGATTAATTCGTGCTGGTATTTCTTCTTCGACATCGTATTCCCTGTCGCTTCGTGATTTTCTTTACCACACCTCGACACCAAAAAGCGCGCGAAATAGAGGCAATTCGAAACACATGGTAACGCTTCCATAACGAATTTCGTATATAATAATTTCTCTGTACAACGAAACATGCCTAGGCTAATTAAACGGTATAAGTCTTGGAGCAAAAGGTGCCGCGATTTTCCGAAATTTTTCCAATCAACGAAAGAAAAACAATGGCATCTCGTTCGGTTCACAGCGCGAACAAGCACCTAACTAGGAATGAAATTTTCGGTCCTCGACGCTGCCGGATTAAGAGCGCTCTCGCTAAAATCTGCCAGCAAGGAGTAGGGAAA